AGGAGAATATAGTACCTTGTTCAAATGGGCTGTTATGTTTGTGCTAATTTTTTGACAGGGTGACTTGTGATAGCTTAAATGAAAGGTAACAAATTGTACTTTATTGCAAATTTGGGTCCACAATCTACACATGGTATTGACACCAGCCTTCCATGATTTGACCCCAAGTTCAAGGCTGTCTAGTGCGTTTCGGCTCGAAACTTCCGGTGACCATTGTTTACAGTGGATACAGCAAAATTGACATGGTCGATCCAGGCCCATATTTTGCCGGTTAAGAGACAAGTGGCAGGTTGGTCAGCATGTAATAGGAGAACAGCCTACGACCGATATTAATTGTGGTGGACCGGCATGTCACTGTAGATAGCAAAGAAGGAAAATAATTGTGGTCTGAGGCCATACACGTGCAGACACCGTGGCTTTCAAGCACCCAAACACGTGATACAAGTTTCCGCCACTGTGACTTTCAAGCTCCCAAACACGTGATACTAGTTTCTGAAAGGATGTCTTTCAAGCACCACCCAAACACGTGATGCTAGTTTCTGACAGGATGTCTTTCAAGCACCACCCAAACACGTGATGCTAGTTTCTGACAGGATGTCTTTCAAGCACCACCCAAACACGTGATGCTAGTTTCTGACAGGATGTCTTTCAAGCACCACCCAAACACGTGATGCTAGTTTCTGACAGGATGTCTTTCAAGCACCACCCAAACACGTGATGCTAGTTTCTGACAGGATGTCTTTCAAGCACCACCCAAACACGTGATGCTAGTTTCTGACAGGATGTCTTTCAAGCACCACCCAAACACGTGATGCTAGTTTCAGCCACTAAGGGGAGTAAGTGGTATGTTTATGCAATAGCATGTTTTGATAAACAGTGATTAGAATCCACTTATGAACACGGTGATCTATACGCACTATATATTCTGCTTTCACCTGGTGAATGAACAAGAAGTAGGCCAAAAACGTCATGTTGTCAATAATAAAGAAGTTGTAAATCCATACCATACGTTGTTATGTTACCTTTCAACTTCTATTTGCCAATCAAGCATCTTAATCTGTCTAATATGGTCTTCGCTATGTGTGGTTTTACTAATGTACTACTATTAGATGAGCCACGACCTGACAAATGACCCCAATTTGCAGATATGGGAACGCCCTCCAGAACATTCCATTTGAAAAATGAGGGAAACAGGTTGTCGTCTAAAACTTGAAAAGTTCAATTTAATCGTGCGAATCGTGTTTTAATTGTTATATCATACAAAGTATGTATATAATGATATTCTTTATTCGCAGAGAGTATGTAGGCCATCGGCCCATAATACAGATATTAAATGTTTACAGCCATATATGATTGGCGGTGCTTTACAGCATAATAAATAAACATTGCTACATTTCTGATGACAAAGGTATTGTTTGAGGTCATCAATATATTGTAATTTGACAAAGAAGGGTATGTGTAAAACTTGGCAGGAATATATATAGTGCGCAAGGGACTGTATGCAGTACACACTATAGTTTGGCATGAAATGCATGTGGACCCGGTTACAGGTCATTGGCTCCCTCCCTCTGCAAGCCTTCTGCGTTCTACTGTTTATTTTGTTGACAGTTATATAGACAGATTCTTTAATACAAATGCATAAAATCGGTGATTTACAATGTGATTAGGTTGTCTGACAAAACATCCACTTGCACAGTTTGAGATCGATTGGGTCATTGGATGAAGAGATATTTACAAAAAACCGGGTCCACATGCATTTCATGCCAAACTATAAAAGGAAATGATACTCGTTTTCTATTTATCCATTGTCGCACATGTTACATAACCTGTGATGTCTGGGTTTATTTGTGTATCTACCTGTCTCAATATTTAATTGATGGGAACCACAGCGAAACTGTGCGAGTGCAATGCGAAATTTACTAACGTTAATAACACTTAAATATGGTTCCATAGATAGATTACACTTGAAAAGAGAATATGAATAAGTTTTAGAACTTGATGATAACGAGTTATGCCATTCTTGATGGGATATATGCTGAGCCCTGATCATAAATTCAGACAGGAAAGAATTTAAGCTACTAATATACTGTCTTTCCCATATATATCCAAATCCCATATTGTAAAGTAATAACTTAAGCTTTGATACCCAATTTGTTTTACCATTGCTAGCATCTAACAATAATAAATTATAGCACTTTCTGGGCAGACGAGATACTGGCATATTAAACAATTTATACCAATATTTAATACAACGTTTGTAAGCGTAAACATAGACAGTGCCACACTCACCCCGAACGATGTGATTAGGGGTTGATATTTTGACACAAAGCAGATATTTACAAGCCAGAGTTTGCACTTTCTCAATTGGTGAACAATCCAGCCCCCAGACTTCAGCCCCATAGAGTAGGATTTGTAACACTTTTGAATAATAAATCCTGAAGAAAATGTCACCGCGAATAGGTTTTAGCTTCGATGGTGACCTAATAATACTATAGAGGGCCTTTTTAGATTGTAGAATGGAATTATCAAAATGTTTATGCCACGACGAGCTTTGAGAAAGAAGAACACCCAAATACTTATACCATGAGACACAATCTATTCTCATGCCACTCAAAAAACACTTTTCATATTTAGAGAGCTTACCTCCATTTCTAAAGACAACAATTTTGGATTTATCTAGATTAACGGAAAGGTCATACTCGATACAATACTTTTCCAAAAACATTGATACGCTTTTGTAGGCCACAGATAGTATCGGAGAGGAGTACTACGTCGTCAGCGAACAGCAAGAGAAATACTTGTGTTAGTTCTGGATGCATCTGTATACCAGGATAACAAGATGACTCAATTTCACAAGCCAAATCATCTATAAATATAGAAAATAGAAAGGGGCTTAAGACACACCCTTGACGCACTCCGATATTACACTGGAAGATTTCGGAAAACATATTATTTGATTTAACGCAAGATTTGACACAATCATAGATGGATCGGACACAATTCCACATTTTGGTAGACACGCCCTTCTCATTTAATACAGACCATAATTTTGCCCTATTCACCAAATCAAACGCTTTTGAAAAGTCTACAAAAAAGCATATAATTTCGCTTTCTTAGATAGAATTCTGTTAATAATAGTTTGTCAAATGAAAATGTTATCTATAGTCGAGTAACCAGCTCTGAACCATGCCTGCGACTCGGAGATCTTGCAATAAGCATCAGTCCAAAACCTGAGCCTATTATTAATAACTGACACATATAGTTTACTAAAGACACTGAGAACTGTAATCCCTCTGTAATTGGACACCTTATTGACATCACCCTTTTTATGAACAGGAACTATTATACCCATAGACCACTGAGCTGGGAATATACCTTTATCAAAAAGCATATTGAATAAAATAGTAAGATATGGATAATAACATCTGCAAGAATTCAGCAATAAGCTTATCATCCCCCGCTGATTTAGAAATCTTGAGTGCATCTATTCCCACCATAATCTCATCAGCCGAGATTGGCGAATCAAGAATAGCAGTGGTATTACTATCAGTAAACTTAGACTCATAGCTATTGGCCACACTATCGCTAACTGATGATCTACCAGGTGTCATATACATACTGCAAAAATCATCATGCCAATCCTGTAATGAAATACTGGGGGTAACTGGAACTGTGGATGAAAAACGTTTTAATAACTTCCAAAATGCCTTACTATTATATAAATTATCTCTCAAAGCTATAGACATTTTATCTTGGTAAGCTCGCTTCTTATCCCTCGTAACAGAAGAAAAATTATTTTTTGTCCTTAGATAATCTTTAAGAATATCATCAAGTCTACATCGTCTATAACACACAACATCCTCTCTCTCTCAGAGCGATAATAGCTACACTCAGAATCATACCAAGGCTGAGAATTTATAGTTTGCCATCACGACATTTACGTTTCATACATGTACCAGCTTCACATATAGCATCAGTAAATATATCAACAGACTCAATAATATTATCGAACATGCGATCTAGGCATTCATCGAACATTGAAATATTTTTATCTGACAATAGATGTTCTATGTGTACAGCTAAGATCCTTAGAAACTGAACCAAGAAAAATATAACTTTATTTACAAAACACCCCACACAAGTGCCTGAGAAACGAACCGTTCTTATGTTTACAAACGGATGTATAATCGGCATATATTCTGGTGCATCCTCTCCATTCAGTGGTCAAATACCGAATAGATCCATTAATGAATTTACTGATTTAGGCGTACTTCGGGCCTTAGTCGTCATTTTTTGAATCGGTCTCGGTGTCTGAATCACTTGCCAGTCCTACTTCGATCACGATTCTGTCAATTTCGTTTTCTACTGCAATTTCCCGTTGCCAGAAGCCATCTTTAATGGTTTTCACATGTTTACAACATTCGGACCATTCCTTGGCACCGATTGCAGACATTTTCTCGTTAATGGCAACTCTTAGCGAAGTTTTGTTTCGCAACATATTTTTTTCACATTGGCCCAAATCATCTCAATTGGGTTCAATTCTGCGTGGTAAGGAGGAAGTCATGGTAAATCATGGCCATGTTGTTTCAAAATAGTGTCTACTCTATAGACAGGGCCCGATTTGTTGGATTTTGCTAGACACAACAGTTCGGCTTGGAGCATTTTATCGTCAAATGCAATATTGTGCCTTTGTAACCAAGCTTTGATATCATCTTTTCTGTTAGCGTTGTTGGACATCTGTCCACTTGCTTGCTGTGGTATGGCGCATTACCCATAAGAATGACGGAATGGGGTGGAATATGTGGGATCATTTTTTTCCGGCAGCCATTTGGAAAAATTATCAAAATTCATCTCGTCATGATAATCTGCTGATTTGAGCTTTCAGTCAAATACAAGTAAAGCATTTGGTACAAAACCGTTTTCAGACCCTGCATGAACAACAATAAGCCGAGGTCCGGTACCGGACAGAGACTGTCCCCATTTATCACAACCTCACCATCAAGCTGCGGACAGTGTGGTCTACATGCAACCATGTTTCATCGATAAAGATGATTGTTCGATTTTCATCTCGACATTTTTTCATTGCACGTAAGTATTGCATGCGTTCTTCGTTCCATTAAAAGCTTACGATTTGACTGTCATTCAGATTTTTCGAAAACTTTCCTTTGAACCCTGGTAGTGCAATTGGCTTCTTGCCATATCATATATCATATCTAGAGTAGGCAGTTGCTTTTGTACTCCATATAAAGGTTGTACAAAATGACGGACTGCACACCGGTCAAAGTTATCAAGTTTGTGCTTGGAAGTTTAGGATTTGCGCAACTTGGTTGGACTGATTAAAAGTAGGCCTACTCGCACCCCATCACCTTCCGCTTTAATACGTTTTAAAGTTGCCTTGGAAAGATTAGTAGAAAGGCTACTTTTTGACTTAACGTCTAGTTTGGTTGCACACGTCTTTTCCATATAAATAGTAACATTGTAGGCTAACTCCCTTGCCTGAGAATGAACAATTTGACCATTCGTCCCTAACTTGGAAATGTTAAATTAATTAAAATCTGCAAACATTCATAAATTGACTCGTGTCGAGATGGTGTCTTGCTGAACTAAATCGCTCTACGAGACACGTGTTAAACAGAAGCGGTATTGAGTTCACGCCACGGTCAGCATGTATCGCACGTGCTTAATCGCCAATCTACCTGTAGCAACCAAGTATGTTCGTCTAGATTCCCTGCCCCGCCTACTTGTCACAGACGCGTGGTCTGCGCAGGCTTATTTAATACGAGTCAAGCAGTATTTAAAAACTATGGTTTAGGTCATGCTGGGTATTGCTTGTATATTCTACTCTTTGGATTTGTTTTTCGTCTACTTTGAGTGCAATAATGCCTCTCTTATCCGCCCTGGCTCAAACGTTATTTGATGTGTAATACACACTGACTAATTACATAATGCACTGCACTTGTTGCTGAATTGAAACGTTCATTTTAAGATCTGTGACCAATGACAAATTATGACTTCCCTATCATCTGAGTACGGTACAACAATTAAACGTTTTCATGGAAATTGTTCTGCAAATAACACGGGTCTCCCATGATTTTGAGTGTAAAATATTGTTTGATCGGCCATTATGGGTTATTATCCCACGTAATCTAACATTCACACAGGGTATAAATGTTCAACCCATTTACCAACTGACCAGCAGAATCGTCGCAACATCGACAGCAGCTATGGGCATCGTCAAGTGCGCATCCGTCATCGTCATTCTCAGCTTTGTAAGTGTACCTTTCTACTTATATCAGCCACTTGTTGTTACCCTGGCTGGCACTGGGAAATGTCCGAGTCTGTATTCTGTGTCTCACGGGGGTGTAATTCAATCAATCTTTATTCGGTACTTAAAAGGCCACAGTCCTATAGTACATTTATATACACAGTGTTTAGAACTGAGCAGCAGAAAGGCATATGTCAAATATTTACAGATTACAAATTTAAACCAGATTTTCTATGTATAAATGCAAAATAAATATACATTGACAGGTTCTGTAATTCAATAATATTTTATTTTAATAATAAAGTCAGTTTTATTTCATTTGGATGGATATAATAGTAGGATGTTAAATATGTCTTTCTAAGGTTTTCATAAACGGGGCATATAAAACGAAAATGAAAACGTTGCAAATTCTATGATTACGAGGGATATTAATATAACGGCCAGTTTCAATAAACAACTCGTGCGATGAGCAGCGAAAACGGGATAGCTACACGGAATTTCTTTACAGTGATTTTTTATAAATAATATTCTTGGCATGGTTCAGATTTCCAATGTTTATAATACAGACACTTAGAGCATAGAGAGATTGAATCAAGTTATGTTTGTCGATAGGTGTCTTTCATTCTTTGGGTCAGTGCCATAATAAATGAATTTTCTGATTGGGCGTTTTGATTATTCCAAACATAACCATATCCCGTTTTGAATAATTGTTAACCTGTAGGATGATCGGCAGTACTCCAGACTTATACAAGCAACTACTCATACACACGCGCACGCGAACGCACGCAAACACATGCACGCACAAAAAGGGGCGATGGAGTAGCGTAATGGTTTAAGTGTCCGCTCGTCAGGCTGAAGGCCTGGGTTCGATTCTCCAGATGGGTATAATGCGTGATGCGCATTTCTGGTGTCCCTCGCCGTGATATTGCTGGAATTTTGCTGGAAGCAGCGTAAAACCATACAAGCTCACACGCATTCATGTCGCAATATTATTGAACGTGACGTAAAACAAATTTTCCTTCACGTATGTCAAAAACCGACGGTACCGTTCTTCAAGTAATCTAGGGCAATTCATCATGTTCAGTTGCGTCCCTTAGCCATTCAGGATCTGCTATTCTTGGTTCGAATACCGGATTCGTTCATATTATGAATCGTGATATATTGGCATCCAAGTGGTTGACTCGACCATCTTTTATTCAAACAATACAAATACCTGACATGTCGTGATATATAGCTTTACGTTGTGTGACAGGGGCGGTGGGGTAGCCTTGTGGTTAAAGCCTTCACTCGTCACGCCGAAGGCCCGGGTTCGATTCCTCACTTGGGTATAATATGTGAAGCCCATTTCTGGTGTCCCCTGTCGTGACATGGCTGGAATATTGCTAAAATCAGCGTAAAACCCAACTCACTCACTCACACAAGCTATGACAGAAACATGACTACCACTCAGTTACATTATCAATTTGTGGAGTCTCCGACTAATTTTTTCTGGAATTTTGCCTAAAGTGCTGTAAACTCCCATTCATGCGAACTGGGCCTGGAACGCAGGATACTTGACGCTAATGGCATGTAGCTGAGTCATTCAAACTCACATACTGCTCTTAACATGAGCAGTGGGACCACGTCGTATGAGAAACCCCAACTAGCTTTGCGTTCTTTGGTAGTGCCAAACCTCTGTGGGTTCGAATCTCAGATTATGTTTCTAGACCTGTTGCCACCACATCCATGCTCGTGATTTTCGCTACAGTGGTAAACATCAGAGACCAACACCCTTCCTTGTTTCTCTCCCTTAACTGATAAGGAGTGACATAACAACCTTGCTCAACGCCCACATCTCTTAACTGTTATAAAGACTCGCTTTCTACTTCTCTTTTCCCCAGATTGCCGGCTGCTATACTCATCCGACAATTACGGATACACTTAGGTAAGTAACTTTAAACTGAATTTTAGCTTTAAAGAGCACATCGAATTCGTTAGTAATACAGACGCGAATTCTCCGATGCTTAACACCTTCATGATGATGCTGGTGATGATGATTGTTGATGATGATGATGATGTGATGATGATTGTTGATAATGATGATGATGATGTGATGATGATGATGACATGATGATGTGATGATGGTGATGATTGTTGATGATGATGATGACGACGACGACGATGATGGTAATAATAATGAGGAGGAGGAGGAGGAGGAGGAGGAGGAGGAGGAGGAGGATTGAGGGACTTTAAGATCCTTGAAGATCTTGCTGTGATGATTGTTAATGATGTTGATGATGATGATGATGATGATGCCGCCGACGACGACGACGACGATGGTGATGATGGTGGTGATGATGATGATGATTGAGGGACTTATTTATCACCCGGAAGTTGTTGATCCTTTAAGATCTTGCTGTGATGATTGTTAATGATGATGATGATAATGATGATGCCGACGACGACGACGATGATGATGATGGTGGTGGTGGTGGTGATGATGATGGTGATGATGATGATGATGATGATGATGATGATGATGATGATGATGATGATGATGATGATGATGATGATGATTGAGGGACTTATTTATCACCCGGAAGTTGTTGATCCTTTAAGATCTTGCTGTGAATGTGCCGCGGTAGATTAGGTAATAAGCTGGTTAAATGCAAACAATTGATTTGACGTTGATTCCTCACACTACACTTTTCATTCTCTTTTTCAGAAGCTGCAGAGATGGTAATGTATGGTTTAAATATTTGTGTAAAGATTAATCAGGGACATGTAGTCAAACACCTTTCTGGCGAACTTGCATACTCCGTAAGTACTATCTAGCACAACCGAAAAGAGATAACTACCGACAAATATTCAGGGAAACATATAGTCAAATATGTCGAAGGTGAAAACTATGTAAATGGCACCTACTATGTGGAACGATGTTTATATACTGAGTGAAAAAAGAAACTTCACATTCTTTCTTCAGGGCACTATAAACGAACAAGACGATTAGGCTACCCCACCGCCCCCTAAAACCAAATAACTGAAATGGAGCTAATCCGCATTAAGTCACAGTTCTTACACTACCGTGCTTCTCAATATGAAGATTCGTAAGCCCCTACATTTGTCATGATATACTGAGTCAAAAAAAAACCTTCACATGCTTTCTTCACTTCAGGGCACTATAAAAGAACAAGAGATGGTAAGATGGTTAAAGTGTTATTGTTTAATTGCTGAGATCTGTGTGATGTACTCGATTCACTGACAGTGCCATAATCAGTTCCATTAGGCTACACCGCCGTTCCAAATCATGGGTATACAGAATGTCAAGTCACAAGAATAAAAATGCGAAAGGTCTCAGTTCAATATCGTGTATGGCCGCCCCGCGCATTCACCACTGCCAAACACCGTCTCCTCATCGACTGCCTGATGCTTGTGAACACGTGGTTGGGGATTCTGCGCCATTGCTCTTGCAAGGCCGCGCCAAGTTCCTGCAAATTCTGAGGTTGGTTCCTAAGACCACGAAGCCTTCTCCCAAGTGCATCCCAAACATGCTCTATTGGATTAAGGTCAGGGGACCTCGATGGCCAGTCCATGACGTTGATTCCAGCGTTTTGAAGGAAATTTCGTGTCAACATCGCAGTATGCGGCCGAGCATTATCATGCTGGAACTGTAGACCTGGGCCATGAGCCGCCATGAAAGGAACGAGTTCAGGGGTGAGCACCTGGTCACGGTAAGCAGCAGCTGTGAGGTTTCCACGGATGACCAAAAGTCGGGAACGGTTGTTCCCACAGAAAGCACCCCACACCAGGCAACTTCCGCCCCCGAATCTGTCGACTTCCTGTATCCAACATTGGGTATACCGTTCACGACGTCGTCTCCAGACGCTATGCCTGCCGTCCGCGAATCTGAGGGTAAACCTGGATTCATCGCTAAAGACGACTCGATTCGAGTCTCTCTGGGTCCATCGGAGGTGACGTTGGGCCCACAGCAGACGTTGACGTTGATGAAACGGCGTCAATATTGGCCCACGATATGGACGTCGAGAATGGAGATTGGCAGCCCGCAACCGATTTCGAATGGTCTGTGAGGACAGTCGACCTCTAAACATCTCAGCCCTGGTTCGTGTAGCCGGCAGAAATCTGTCACGTAGGTGACGTAGGACGATTTGACGGTCTTCTGCTCGTGACGTCACACGTGGACGACCCGACCTTGGGCGATCAGAAGTGGTGCCAGTTTGTTGTAGACGACCTCGCAAGTCATACACAGTAAGACGGCTGCATCCCATTGTTCTTGCGACGTCAATAACTGATCTTTCCGCTTGCAACATACCAACGGCACGTTCACGCTGCACATTTGACAATCGTGGCATTTCAAGTACCGTTAGAACTGTGGTTTAAAAGTGTTTTTAATTCTTGAGGCCAATGCAAACATGTGCATATGAAGAAAACTTCGATGCGAAGATCACGTGATCGACTGCACGTGCAAAACCTGATTTGGCACTAACGTCATTTGCACGACGAATGGATGGGTTTGAGTGGGTTTTGCTAATGTTTTTCTAGAGTCGAAAGATAGGGATCCCATTTCGGATACATAGATATATCATCAGAACAAAATTATTCATTATTTTTCAAATTACATTTTGTGAAGTTTCTTTTTTGACTCAGTATATATCGAGTTATCTAAGGTTCGGCAAAATTTTAAACTAACACCATAAGTAGGTGCAGCGTTTGGTGGGTTCGAATCCAAATTCCTGTCTTTGTTCTTGGTCAGCATCATGCCCTTTGTTCGTGGGTTTCACCGAGTGAGTGAGTGAGTTAATTGGGTTTACCCCGCTTTTTAACAATATTCCAGCAATATCACTGCGGGGGACACCAGAAATGGGCTTCACACATTGTACTCGTGTGGGGAATCGAACCCGGGCCTTCGGCGTGACGAGAGAACACTTGAACCACAAGACTACACCACCGCTCGGGATTCACCGAAGTGAAACCGATGGAAGACCTCGATCTATCCTCCCACTTCAAGTTGTGTAACTTGGTTTAGTTTGATTTATTTGGTGTTTGACGCCGCATCCAGCACTATTCAGGTATATGGCGGCGGTCTGTAAATGATCGAGTCTGGAGCTGACATTCCCGTGATCAACAGCATGAGCAGAAATCTACGCGATTTGGATACGATGACAATGTGTCAACCAAGTCAGCGAGCTTGAAAACCAGATCTATTTAGTGGCCTCTTACGACAAGCATGGGCTGCTGAAGATCATTTCTAACTCGGGAAGTCTGTGTATATATCTGCTGTTCGAAGCGGCGATAAACGATGCTAGTTGTCTGCTAGGTTCCTGTTTCGCGCTACCTTAAAAAGCCTTGTGTTCATTCTAAGAATCGGTTCTCAACAAGTCTTGATTGAAACCCTTTGTTGATTTCTAGTCCAGTAATACTGACAATTGGGGTAAAACAAATTGCAATAAAAACACATTTTTGCTGAAACCTGTAAGGTTTAACATATCAAAACTATATAAATGTGTCATGAACGATTTTGTTCGAAAAAGTTATTTATTTGTAATGCCAAATCGCGTACATCGGATACGGAAAAACAGATGGCCGCTGTTACTCGCCGTGTTTCCGTAGATTGCATCACGTAAACAAGATGGCCGATCAGCGTATCGTTGCAGGCGACTCAATGCAATCACGGAAATTGTTTACATACATTTACAAGTTAACTGAGATCATTAATGTCTAATATATACATAAGTTGCTATATTATCGCTCAAGGCCGCGAATCATTGACGTAGTGGATACTGAACGAAAGTTCACTTCGAGCTATTGACGCCATTCAACGTTCATGATACACAGTAGAAAGTTCACTGAAAAACCACGCAAAAGCAAACAGTGAGACATAATTTGACATGTTGTTACATTCTAATTGTTAGAAAAGTAAAATAAAAGATTTATTCTTTATCAAGACACCCCGTATAATCTCCAATATTCGGGTTAAAATGAGCATTACCAGCCTCTGGTGATCGTGAGAGGCGACCCTTGGAAACGTTTCCCAAGAGCTTGGAGTGTTGCTTATACTATGAATCACGGGAATATCTAGTCCATGCACTGTTATTCACAGTTGTATCATATATTCCTTAGTGCGGCGTTAGACAAAAACAAATATGTAGAAATAGAATCAAACACATTTATATCGAGAGTCTTCGAGTTATCAACCGCAAAAATAACGACTACATAAGGAACACCCTGGAACCGACCTTGTACCTCGAGACAAGCATAATCTCGACACATCAAGGTTCTCCACATCGGAGTTTGGCTGCAGGCCTTTTTGGCTCTAACTTTTCTGCAAATTCTATGCTTAAGTTTACCCTTTTGGGGTTTTGGGGATCGTTTTAGCTGTTATATGTTGGTTTAACTTAGACATTTTCTTTTGTTGCTGTTGTTTGTTGTTTTCCTGTATACCTATAGCACCTTGAGGTAACATTTCAGCTTGCAAACAGAAACCATTGGACTTGGCCTTTGTAATCGACTCTTCATCCAGTATATCGCCGGAGGACTTTACATTGGGGATGTGGTTCGTGGAGGACTTTATAGATATTTTCGAAGTGGGCCCCTTGACCGTGAGGGCCTCCGTAGTGACGTTTGGCGACCGCGTGTACGATGAGGACGCCTTTGGTTTCAACAGGTACACCGATAAGAGGTCCTTGAAAAAGGCAATATCGATGATCCCCTTTAAGGCTGGGCATGCCACGGACACCGGGGCTGGCATCCAGTTCATGAGAGACAGATTTCTCCCTCACGCCCGCAAAGGGGTTAAGACTGTATGTATTGTGTTGACCGACGGCAAATCCCAGGAACCGGAACTGACGGAGAAACAAGCCCGGATCACCCGAGATGCCGGCGTGGAGATGTTTGCTGTTGGTATCGGCCGTAGTGTCTCAGAGGAGGAACTGAGGAACATCGCCGGCGTTGATGACCACGTCTTTACTGTCACTACTTACAACCTTCTGGGCACCATCAGATCAAGGCTCGCTTTTCAGTCATGTGGAGGTAGGTAAATCCATCCCCATCCTGTCATGCCTTCGTCAACATTCGCCCCTTTCCGTAACCATTCGACTTCTTCCGGAATAACACGAACGGTGACGAATGCCCGCCATGAAGAAACTGCAGAAAATTATCTGTAGACAATAAAAAAAAAATTAAACTTTCGTAGAAAGAGAAAATATGCACTGGCTAAACTGGAACAGACAAGACATTGCTATTAGATGGTGATGTATTTCATACGGATATCATAGCCTTGACAGCAATACCATAGACTGCAGTATTGTTTTCAGAATTGTAATGTTATGAGCACGTTTGTTATTTTGTTTTTCAAACCCAGTTTTCAAATGTATCCTTTCTTTAGGATAAGTAAAAACAATGGGGGTTTGTAAGTGCATTTAGAATACATCGGTGCCGAGAAATTTGATATTTAATTTATTAAAGTATTCTTAAAACAACAACGACTTCATTGTTAACGTACAGCAACTAAAGACTGAATATAGAACAATTTATTAACATTGAGGTGTGTAAAGTTTTGGAAGCAGTCTAATGAGTAAAGGCTATCGGCGATGAAGTTAAAGCGAAATAGTTTCTCACAGGGCTGATTTAACGTCCAATCTTCTAATTATTTCAGAGGAACCTATTTCAAGAGTTGGTAAGTATCATAGGCCTTAAAGAGGAATATTTGAGTTTGTCCTGAATGTTTACTTCAGGAGATAATGGGAGGTGAGGTGAGGTGAAATTGGATTTGAAGTCGCTTGAGAATATTTCGCTCATATGACGACGTGCATGCGTGTGTATGTGTATGTGAGGCTGCTCGTACTAGCCAAGACTTAAGCTGGTTTTATAGTGCTAGCCCACTGAGATACCATTCCGCAGTGAAGCATGAATACCCCACTCAGACACATTATACTGACTCCAAGCCGACCAGTCCTTGTTGTACCCATTAATGTCGAGCTCCAGGCAGGGACCAACAAGTACCATGATATTTTAACGTCTTTTGGTATGACGCGGTCGGGGATCGAACCCGCGACCTTCCGCTCTCCGGGCGGACGCTCTAACCACTACACCACGGAGGCGGTACAGGAGAGAATGGGAACCCAACTCGGCTACAGACTGAATGAGTGAGTGAGTGAGAGAGTTTAGTCTTACGCCGCACTCAGCAATATTCCAGCTATATGGCGGCGGTCTGTAAATAATCGATTTCTTCATTCGTCATGTTTCGGTTGTGTCGAACTTGGATAACTCGAAGTATCTACGTAGGACTCTTCAACGTCGATATAACGATGCTTAACTGCACTATTATTGATACGCGTATATTTTCAGTGTGTCGTGACAGCCCCATCGACGTCAGTCTTGTCATAGACGCCTCCTCCAGCATCGGCCCCACCAACTTCACCATCGGATTAGACTTCCTCGAGAACTTTGTCAGGAGCTTCGACATCTCCCCACACCGAGCCAGATTTTCCGTCATCACCTACGGCCTCGGCATCTACAACAACACGGCTTTCGACTTCGACGACTACAGCAATGAAGTGAGCCTCGTGAAAGCCATCGCCGGCATACCCTACACCGGTGGCACCCACACCGACACCGGTCTCGGCATTGAGTACATGCGAGACAGGCAGATGCTGCCCAAACAACGCGCCTATGCAGCTCACATCGCCATCGTGATGACCGACGGGCAGTCTCAGGACAGGGAGAAGACTCAGAAAGAAGCGGCTAAGGCTCGAGACGACGGTATCAACATGTTCGCCATCGGTGTCGGTTTAAGCCTCTCAGAAGAAGAGCTGCTGAACATCGCTGGACGGAAAGAACAGGTGTTCACTGTGACGGACTACAAAGCTCTGGAAACAATCCATAATGAACTGGACATCAGGACGTGTAGAATAGGTATGTCCTTCAATGATTGCTCAAAACATGTACGAGGTAATATAGACTAACGAATATATTTTTAATAGCAATAGTAACAAATAAACCCGTTTAAATTGAAAAGGAGCCCCAGGGAGACCAGAGATTCAGAACCTGGGTAAATCTAGACTTGCTTGATTTAGGGGTTTAGCATTGCATAGAGGGCTAGGCTGTAGGGAAAATAATATGGCTCAGGGACTATGGGACAGACCACATTCAGGTTATTGGTCAGGATCTTTATACAGGAGACCTCGTAACTCGGGGAGATTTATACAGGAGACCTCGTTACACAGGGAGATTTATAAAGGAGACCTCGTTACACAGGGAGATTTATACAGGAGACCTTGTAACTCGGGGAGATTTATACAGGAGACCTCGTAACACAGGGAGATTTATACAGGAGACCTCGTAAGTCGGGGAGATTTATACAGGAGACCTCGTTACTGAGGGAGATTTATACAGGAGACCTCGTAACTCGGGGAAAATCTATAGAGGAGACCTCGTTACTGAGGGAGATTTATACAGGAGACCTTGTAACTCGGGAAGATTTATACAGGAGACCTCGTTACACAGGGAGATTTATACAGGAGACCTCGTAACTCGGGGAAATTTATACAGGAGACCTCGTTACTGAGGGAGATTTATACAGAAGACCTTGTAAGTCGGGAAGATGTATACAGGAGACCTCGTAACTCGGGGAGATTTATACAGGAGACCTCGTTACTGAGGGAGATTTATACAGAACACCTCGTAAGTCGGGGAGATGTATACAGGAGACCTCGTAACTCTGGGAGATTTATACAAAAGACCTCATTCCTCACTGAGATTTATACAGGAGACCTGGTAACTCACGGAAATTTATACAGGCTGAGCCTTCAAGTAACGTTTGGTTTAGCCCATTGGACCTTAAAAGTGCATTCATATCTAAATGTTTAATCTTTTACTTGTTTGGGGTGTTTTTGAATTTTATTTATATATAAAATTGACATCCTTTATTGCTCATTTCTGCCGGCACTTCATCACGTGTTATTGGTGCCTTTCAGTTCTTCATCAGTTCGGCCAGGTACGCCCATCGGTTGCATAAAACTGGATACAACAAACGGTTTTCGACTACAACCATTCTCTGTAATACCGTTGAAAGGTATAAATGTGCAGCGAAATAAATATTTGCATTACAAGGCTTTTGTTGAATTACTGAAGTCATCAGCTGCTTTTCTGCCATCTTCGTAAAGAAATCGTACCATAAAATATAATGTGACATAATAATGTGAATCTTCTCTTGGTCTAATTCAATGACGTCACACTAAGTGAATACGTTAGACTCAACACGGCTGTGACCAACGGTATATCACCATGTGTTACCGTTATACTGAGATCACCATGTGTTACCGTTATACTGAGATCACCGTGTATTACCGTTATACTGAGATCACCGTGTGTTACCGTTATAGTGAGATCACCGTGTGTTACCGTTATACTGAGATCACCATGTGTTACCGTTATACTGAGATCACCATGTGTTACCGTTATACTGAGATCACCATGTGTTACCGTTATACTGAGATCACCGTGTGTTACCGTTATACTGAGATCACCATGTGTTACCGTTATACTGAGATCACCATGTGTTACCGTTATACTGAGATCACCATGTGTTACCGTTATACTGAGATCACCATGTGTTACCGTTATACTGAGATCACCATGTGTTACCGTTATACTGAGATCACCATGTGTTACCGTTATACTGAGATCACCATGTGTTACCGTTATACTGAGATCACCATGTGTTACCGTTATACTGAGATCACCATGTGTTACCGTTATACTGAGATCACCATGTGTTACCGTTATACTGAGATCACCATGTGTTACCGTTATACTGAGTGAGTATTGTATTACGCACCTTCTAGGAGTAGTCTGGCAATATCACGACGGGGCACAAAGGAAATGGGCATCACACGTTTCACATCCTCTACACCTCCAGGGAAACCATCAGGAACCCTTGAATCAATTAACTTGGAATATAATACTCACAAACATGCGGACGTTTTAATTTCCACAGAAAACAGAGACAAACTTAAAACAATATAAAATGATTTAAATGGCTGAAACATGTAGAAAATGTAAATTTGTTCCTGTGATTGAAATAGCAATGTATATATACTATCCCAAAAAAGAAACGCATAGGCCAGAAATCTGTTGCGAAAATGTTGTATTTTCAAACATGTGTAACTCGTCCACAAATAGGTTTTAGTGCATGAAATTTTACACAAGTTTACAAGAAGGTAATGTCTATACAACCAGGTGGATACTTGTAGATAACGGAGACGTTGAGCTCAATGGTGACGACGTAGCACGGTCCCGACGTCGGGTCTCCTGGCTCTCAGACGATTCTATTTCGACCTGTTCCGTACAGTTTGACCGGATATCCTCCGAAGTCCAGGCGCCCTGGCTGCTGTGCTCTCACCCGTGGCAGTACGATCAGGCAAATGTAGTACCCGGATGTACCAATCTTGGGCTGCAGTGGTGACTCGAGGTCTGCCTGTACGGGGACGGTCATTTGTTATACCTGTTTGGTTGTAACGAGCTGCAAGCCGTGATATTGTGCTCAGACTAACATTCAGACGCCTGGCAACAGAAGATTATTAATCTTCAGCGTTGATTCTGTCAACGGCGATGTTCCGTGTCGCAGAGACAAGACGTGTCGTGCTGATTTGACCTTGAAACGCCTTCAAAACGATTGCCAATTTCCAAAAGTAATCTGGAATTTTATTGCCACACAGTGCATGCTCTTTGATGCACAGTTTCAACTGGAAAGTGATTTCTGCCTTTTAATCCTTGTAAGAAATCTCATCAAAATCAACATTTTCAGGTAAAATCGATTTTTTACTTGTGCAATTGTGTAAAATCATGTTATCAACACTTTCGTTACATAACACGATAGGTAATTAATAGATTTTTAAAAATACAGATCGCCTATGCGTTTCTTTTTTGGGATAGTAAATGTTACAGGGATGCCACCGATTTCACGTAATCGCTAAAAGAGTCCCCAGGGATTTCATGTAAAATGTCAAGGGATTTTATGAAACTACTGAAATGTTGGCTCAGGAATTTCACGAACCCCCTGCCAGCCTTTATTAAAATAGAGAACACCAAATTAATAATGCGAGTACAGTGCATATGCTGATACATTTTATTTGTTGGGACAAGTTAGACTGTTATGACACCGGCTATTAAACTTCAGTTCTGCTTTAAGACTTTACAACGTCTCGATTTACATTGGTTTGGGCCGCAGTTGCAGTTACATAGATCAACTCCTAAGATCTGAAGGATGAAACAGCAACTCAGCAGTAAAGTGTAAAGCTACACACATTATTTCAACGCATTCACTGATATCCATCCTAACAAGGAATGTGTGTAATGGAATATCATGAACATCAGTAATTTCATTAACCCCCTTGAAACTTTAGGGGATAAATGAAATCCATGGGGGTCACAGTGATTTCACGAATCACGGACCCTTTTAGGCATTGCGTGAAATCCCTGGTTTCACACATTCCCTGCAACGTATACTCATGGAAACCAATAAGGGAACACATGAAACTATCAGTGTCCCTTTAATTATTTTCAGAATTTCACCCACTTTGCAATACATACCTTGTGAAGAAACATGGGAAAGAATAAAGGAACACTTGTACTTTCATGTGTTCCCTTATTTGTTTCTATGAGTATATAACCTTGTCCATGAACTACCAACTAAAGTTTCAGTTCTTGTATGTTTACGGTACATACTGATTGTGAATCGTAGTAACTGGCATGTAACCACAGGCTCTCGTGTCTTTGCGAAGATTAAAGATTGAAAAAATTATATTTTTGAGATGCCCCCCGACTCGAAATGTGTCACAGTACAATATATCATGACCTTGTCATAATGTAGTGCACTGTGAAGCATTTCGAGTCGGGGGTCATGATGTATTGTACTGTGAAGCATTTCGAGTCGGGGGTCATCTCAAAGTTTTTAGATTTTTAAAAAATGTTTTTTCATCGCAAAGACACGAGGGCTTGTGCATGTAACTAATGAAATGGGCATCACCTGTGCCTGGTCTAAGGGTCTTCTGTGCATGTAACTAATGAAATGGGCATCATCTGTGCCTGGTCTAAGGTTCTTCTGTGCACCACAGTGAGACTCAATATTTGTGATCCTTTGGAGAAACAATAGCGACATGCATGCACACCTGTGTATGTGCGTACAGTGGACTCTGTACAATTTGACACTCACTGGGACTGGGAAAAAAAGTCGGATTACACAGAGTGTCGGATAATTCAATGCCATGCCTCCTTGCTTGAATACTTTTCAAACAGTACCATACATTGTAACTGGCTTATATCATGAAATTAATGCTTAATAGCTATTTTCGTGGTAAATAAAGGGGGAAAAAGCAAATTCTGTATTTACATGTACATGTATATCATTGGCTATATCATCTTCAGTACAATATACATACATGTACTACTATCACAATCATATTCACACTTTCATGAAAAAGTCCTCCATTGTAGACTGGCGTTTCCTCATTTTCGACTCGAGGGCAAAGTTATTTATTGCTGACAGTGACAATTCAAGTTGACACCACTGACTCATTGGTAATTGATCTAACCAAATAAATTGACCCCTTTTCTCAGCCCATTCAACCTATGCTTGCCAAAACATACCTCGGTCCTCACGGGGTCTCCTCGTTTTGCCATCACCCTATGGGTAAGGGTGGCCAAGCTGTCCACTGTACATGGGTAATTGACTGAGTGAGTATGGTTTTACGCCTCTTTTAGCAATATTCCAGCAATATCACGGCGGGGGACACCAGAAATGGGCTTCACATATTACACTCATGTGGGGAATCAAAACCCGGGTCTTCGGAGTGACGAGCGAACGCTTTAACCACTAAGCTACCCGACCGCCCCAGTATACATGGAACTTCGATATACGTGAAAATTAAGAAAGCTTCACTTTCTTGTGTTATCTGCCCAAACTGATGCTTGACATACGCACTGAATCAATGATCTGTATCTTTAAAATACACAAGCACGTGCGCTTTCAAAGGGTAAAACATCTGCCTCAGAATACTTCCAGCGTATCACAATGAGGGACACCATTGGTACCGTGTGTCTAAAGCAACCCGGGACTTCAATATGATAAGCAAATACTTTAACAACAAGGGAACCAACTTGTCCTGCTTTGCTCTTGACCAAGTTATTAACATGGGAATCGTTTGGTTGAAACACGATTGCGTCTTGATTCTTAAGAACCACTAAACTTTGTTTTTGTTACTCTTTTAACCATTACATATGAAGATTTGTGGTTAGTCTTATGCGGAACACCAAATTTATTCTTTAAAACTTGTGGTTAATTAATACCGAGCGATTAAAAGTGGCCAAAAGTCGCCTGCTCTCCCTCTCGCCCGCCAACGAAACCACAGACAGGTTACGTAACTCCGTCGCCAGAGCACTGCAGTGACGTCATATGAGGAACGATTTTCAGTTAGTTGTATAGAAAATGTGTAGCACGCTCATCATTTTGATGATTTCTCGACATCAACGACGACATGCCGAATCGTTGCTTTGTCGTGAATTGCTCCTAGGGGTCGGGCGATGGTGTCCCCATGCACAGATTTCCACAGGACCCACAGTTCGTGCTAAATGGGTTATGTTTGTGAGTGCGAAGCGAGCGTTGTGGAAGCCTGAAACGATATCTTACTTGTGTTCAGATCGCTTCACGGAAGTTAAAGAATCAAAACTACTTACTAGTTGTAGTAAAATATGCATATGATTGATGACCATAAAGATTTTCTATGACACAACTTGTAACATAACGATTTCTTCCTCGGAAGTGAGGTTGTGGTCGAAGTAACAATAATATTGTAAGTAGTATTATATTCACACCCACCTCACTGCCACGAGAGAAATTGTTATGTTATACGCTATGTCATGCAAAATCCTATTGGCCATCAATAAAATACATATTTTACTACCAGTAGAAAGTAGTTTTGATTTTTGTAACTCGGTGAAAACAAACCTAAATACCATTTATCCTCAGACTGGCGGATGTTCCCGACAGAAGGGCGCCGCCATTTTTAAAAATAAAAAAATCTGTTAGAATTAATGAGATTA